GCTGAGGCTGAGGCTGAGGCTGAGGCTGAGGCTGAGGCTGAGGCTGAGGCTGAGGCTGAGGCTGAGGCTGAGGCAGGCTGATGCTGAGGCAGGCTGAGGCTGAGGCTGAGGCTGATGCAGGCTGAGGCTGAGGCAGGCTGAGGCTGAGGCCGAGGCTGAGGCAGACTGAGGCTGAGGCTGAAGCAGGCTGAGGCTGAGGCTGAGGCAGGCTGAGGCTGAGGCTGAGGCAGGCTGATGCTGAGGCAGGCTGAGGCTGAGGCTGAGGCTCATGCAGGGTGAGGCTGAGGCAGGCTGAGGCTGAGGCCGAGGCTGAAGGCAGACTGAGGCTGAGGCTGAAGCAGGCTGAGGCTGAGGCTGAGGCAGGCTGAGGCTGAGGCAGGCTGAGGCTGAGGCTGAGGCAGGCTGAGGCTGAGGCTGTGACTGCGACTGCCGTTGCCACTGCGACTGCCATCGCGAATGCGATTACGACTGCGAGAACAGCAGAATTCTACAACTGGGTTCTCATCTGAATCTTAAGGGGAATGCTTCCAGACATGCTCCTACACATCGCTGTTAGGTTGCTTTGCCGGGATAATTTCATCCTTAGCCGTTTTTTGACGACCCTGGGGCCCCTGTAGGGGCCCCTAGAGGCCGAAAGTAGTTTTGCGTTTCCCCCAAAACAATCACGTCGTGATTTTGTCATGAATCGAGGGGGTCTGGGATCCTTGCCGCGCATCCTTGCGATCCGTGTTGACAGCAGTTGACAGCACAGCAGCCAAGGATGAGGAGAGGGAGGAGGAGGAGGAGGAGGAGGAGGAGGAGGAGAGGGGAGGAGGAGGAGGAGGAGGAGGGGAGAAGAAAGTGGAGGCGGAGGAGGAGGAGGAGGAGGAGAGAGGAGGAGGAGGAGGAGGAGTAGGAGGGTGAGGAGGAGGAGGAGGAGCAGGAGGAGGAGGAGCGGCGGCCGCCCGGGCCAGCGGCGCCTGTCGCGAGAGGCGGCCTCCGGGGCGCCCTGGTGGGCGTGGGCCCTGGGCGGCGTGGGGGCTGGCCTCGGCGCCACGCTGCTGGCCGCGGGCGGGCTGGCGGCGCCCCCGCAGTGGCCGGGGCCGCCAGGCCTTCAGTCGGGCCTGTCCCTCTACAGGAGGAATATTCAAACAATAACTGTTACACAAAAAAAGTCTGGGGACGATTGTCCCATCATTTTTTGGTTTTTTGAATATTGTGGCCTCCGGCCGGTGCCGCCGATCCGGGACGATCCCGCTGGCAGAGGGGCGCTTTCGCCCCAGCGCGCTTGTTGGGGGGGGGGCCTTGTGGAGGTGCTTGTTGAGCCTTTGGGGGCCTTTTGGACTACTTGGGGGGCATGCAAGAGGCATCCTGGAGGCCTCATTGGGGTGTGTAGGATGTAATTCTTACGCCTTCGGGAGCACTTTTGGGCGCCTTTGGGGGCCTCTTGAGGGCCGCTTGGAGCCTCTCGAGGTTTCTTGGGGATTCCTATGGCCATTTTGGTGCTTCCCGGGCGCCTCTTGGCCCTTCTGGGGCCGTCATGGAGCCCTCTTGTGCGCTTCTTGGGCCCGTCCTGGGGCCCGCTTGGGCTGTCTTGGGGGCCTCCCGGGCCGTCTTGGGCCCCCCTTCTTGGGCCGACTCGGGGCCCTCTTGAGAGCGTCTGGGCCTGTTTTGGGGGTCTCTTTGGCCGTGTTGGACACTGCAAAGGCCGAAGAAGCGAACATGCAAAAAAAAGTTGTCCTGAGGGAATGGGACCGATTTTCCTTCGTTGGGCACTCTTAGGAGGTGTCAGGAGGGAACGTTGGAGGCTTGTGGAGCCGTCTGAGGAACATATTGAGCGTCTTGGAGCGATATTTCGGCCACTCAGGGCCCTCTTGGGCCGTCTGAGCGGCCGCTGGGTTTCTTATGAGCCCGCGTTCGAGCTCTCCGGGGCGAGGGGCCGACCCGGAGTGAGTTGGAGCTCCGATTTTGCCACCAAAATTGATTCGGAACCACCCCCACCCCCACCCCTACCCCGGCAGAGCCACCCCGGCACCCACCCCCCCAGCAGAGCTGAAGCTCAAGAACTGAGGCTCAGGCTATATCAGAGCCCCGAGTCATCAGGGGTAACTCGGGTCAGGGCTAACTCGGGTTCGTTTTTCGAGAATCCAAACCCGAGTTACCCCGGACCCGAGTTACCCCGGATAACTCGGGCGTCCAGAGCCCCACATCATCAGGGGTAACTCGGGTCAGGGCTAACTCGGGTTCCTTTCTCGGGAATCCAAGCCCGAGTTACCCCAGACCCGAGTTACCCCGGATAAGTCGGGCGCCCAACTAGATCTGAGGGTCTTTGAAGCTCACACGCCAGATCGGCGGATGTTTTGAATATTCGCACATCTTCGCCCAAAAAATCCACCTGCAGGGGGACCTGCCCGACCTAACGCCAGGCGCCACGGCAGGGCCGCCGGGCGCCGCGGCGGCAGCGGAGGCGGCGCTGGCCCACGGGAAGGAGGCCGGCGGCGGCTGGGTCGTCGGCGTCGGCCTCGGCGTCGTGGTCGCTCACGTTCGAGGATGGGGGACGTTTCGGGCGTCTCTGGTACGTAGGGGGGCGCGCGTCGTCGTCGTCGAAGCTCGAGGATGGACGTCTTCTGGCGTTTTTGGTGTGAGGGGGTCGAGGCGGCGCTGGCCCACGGGAAGGAGGCCGGCGGCGGCTGGGTCGTCGGCGTCGGCCTCGGCGTCGTGGTCGCTCACGTTCGAGGATGGGGGACGTTTCGGGCGTCTCTGGTACGTAGGGGGGCGCGCGTCGTCGTCGTCGAAGCTCGAGGATGGACGTCTTCTGGCGTTTTTGGTGTGAGGGGGTCGAGGCGGCGCTGGCCCACGGGAAGGAGGCCGGCGGCGGCTGGGTCGTCGGCGTCGGCCTCGGCGTCGTGGTCGCTCACGTTCGAGGATGGGGGACGTTTCGAGCGTCTCTGGTACGTAGGGGGGCGCGCGTCGTCGTCGTCGAAGCTCGAGGATGGACGTCTTCTGGCGTTTTTGGTGTGAGGGGGTCGAGGCGGCGCTGGCCCACGGGAAGGATCGGCCTCGGCGTCGTGGTCGCTCACGTTCGAGGATGGGGGACGTTTCGGGCGTCTCTGGTACGTAGGGGGGCGGCGCGTCGTCGTCGTCGAAGCTCGAGGATGGACGTCTTCTGGCACGTTTTTGGTGTGAGGGGGTCGAGGCGGCGCTGGCCCACGGGAAGGAGGCCGGCGGCGGCTGGGTCGTCGGCGTCGGCCTCGGCGTCGTGGTCGCTCACGTTCGAGGATGGGGGACGTTTCGAGCGTCTCTGGTACGTAGGGGGGCGCGCGTCGTCGTCGTCGAAGCTCGAGGATGGACGTCTTCTGGCGTTTTTGGTGTGAGGGGGTCGAGGCGGCGCTGGCCCACGGGAAGGAGGCCGGCGGCGGCTGGGTCGTCGGCGTCGGCCTCGGCGTCGTGGTCGCTCACGTTCGAGGATGGGGGACGTTTCGGCGTCTCTGGTACGTAGGGGGGCGCGCGTCGTCGTCGTCGAAGCTCGAGGATGGACGTCTTCTGGCGTTTTTGGTGTGAGGGGGTCGAGGGCGGCGCTGGCCACGGGAAGGAGGCGGCGGCGGCTGGGTCGTCGGCGTCGGCCTCGGCGTCGTGGTCGCTCACGTTCGAGGATGGGGGACGTTTCGGGCGTCTTGGTACGTAGGGGGGCGCGCGTCGTCGTCGTCGAAGCTCGAGGGACGTCTTTTCTGGCGTTTTTGGTGTGGGGGTCGAGGCGGCGCTGGCCCACGGGAAGGAGGCCGGCGGCGGCTGGGTCGTCGGCGTCGGCCTCGGCGTCGTGGTCGCTCACGTTCGAGGATGGGGGACGTTTCGGGCGTCTCTGGTACGTAGGGGGGCGCGCGTCGTCGTCGTCGAAGCTCGAGGATGGACGTCTTCTGGCGTTTTTGGTGTGAGGGGGTCGAGGCGGCGCTGGCCCACGGGAAGGAGGCCTCGGCGTCGTGGTCGCTCACGTTCGAGGATGGGGGACGTTCGAGCGTCTCTGGTACGTAGGGGGCGCGCGCGTCGTCGTCGTCGCGAGGATGGACGTCTTCTTCGTTCGGATCGCGTCGTGGTCGCTCACGTTCGAGGATGGGGGACGTTTCGGGCGTCTCTGGTACGTAGGGGGGCGCGCGTCGTCGTCGTCGAAGCTCGAGGATGGACGTCTTCTGGCGTTTTTGGTGTGAGGGGGTCGAGGCGGCGCTGGCCCACGGGAAGGAGGCCGGCGGCGGCTGGGTCGTCGGCGTCGGCCTCGGCGTCGTGGTCGCTCACGTTCGAGGATGGGGGACGTTTCGAGCGTCTCTGGTACGTAGGGGGGCGCGCGTCGTCGTCGTCGAAGCTCGAGGATGGACGTCTTCTGGCGTTTTTGGTGTGAGGGGGTCGAGGCGGCGCTGGCCCACGGGAAGGAGGCCGGCGGCGGCTGGGTCGTCGGCGTCGGCATCGCCACGGCATGGGCTATGTTGAGATCCTGGCGATGCAATTGTTTCACAGCAGGCGTTTTCGCTCGATTTCGGGCCCTGGGCCCTCACAGATCGATCCGGCTCGAAAATCGACGTAGAAAGATGGAGTCCGGGGCTCTGGGCGTGATTTTTTGCGATGTTGCAATTTTGTTGCAACGTCGGAGCTCAGGGGACTAGTTCGTTTCCTCTCCTCCCAAGCACATTTCGAGAGGCTGTGGCGAGGTACATGCAGCAATGGCGTGGCCTGGGCGACCAGGACAGCTCACTGGACAGTTGGTTTCTAGCTAGGCGCACAATGGGTGTTGAAGATCATGTTCGAGGATCAGAGGATTTTCTAGCGTTTTTGGCACGTAGGGGGGCGCGCGTCGTCATTGTCGTCGAAGCTCGAGGATTGACGTCTAGCGTTTCTGGTGTGAGGGGGTCTCTGCCATGGGCTCCTTCTTGGCCACGGCGCACCCGAGCAAAAAATAGTACGCAGGTTTGGCACAGCATGCGGCCTCGGGGCGCCGTTTATCGAAGCCCGAGGCCTGGAGCGACCGGCAATAACCTTGGCCGAGAAAGAAGATCCCCCCCCCCAGGGGAGTCGAGAGCGCCGGGGCCTGAGGAGGGGGAGGAGGGGGAGGGAGGAGGGAGGAGGAGGAAGAGGAGGAGGAGGAGGAGGAGGAGGAGGAGGAGGAGGAGGGAGGGGAGCTGTGGACGCGCGCCAGGGCCATCCTGGGGCGCGTTCTGGCCAGAATCCGGGTCGAATCCAGCCGTGACGAGTAGAGTTAAGTCGGGCCTGTCCCTCTACAGGGAGAATCTTCCAAAGTAGTCAAAAAATAGTCTGGGGACGATCTTCTCACCATTTCGCTAACTATTTGCAGTATGTTTTCGTTTTTTATTTTCGTCCAAAATCCGCCTGTAGGAGCGCCCAGAAACCCAGAAGTTCGATGCTCGCACCTCGAAGTTCGAGCCTTCGCTCTTCGGGCCTCCGAGGGCCAAGATTCGACCCCCCCGAGTCTCGAGCAGTGGCGACGCATCCGGGCTTGCCTATTTAGGTCCGCCAAGCAGTGTTCTGAGAACCTTTCAGTGGCTTCTGCGACATGTTCTTAGAACACTTCTGGCTGGGGCCGCCTATAGTTTTAGTACATCGGGCTCCTGTCCTGGGAACACTGGTTTTGAACATGTTTTGGGTTCTGAGGACATGTTGTGCAGACTTATGGGAATGCCAGGACGGTCGGCCCCTTCTCAAGACTTGCCCTGGGCGCGCGATCCGAGATCGAGGGCAAGCCAGTTGTGGCGCCCACCGGCGCCCTGGGAGGCCGCAGGCGATCCAAACCCCCAAGCAGCATCGAGCCTTGATCCTCGATGTCTTCCCGAGGGGGCCTGGCTGGGGAGCTTGGGCCAATCCTCGATTTCTTCTCGAGTCTCGTCGATTTCTTCTCGAGGGGGCCTCGCTCCTCGATTTCTTCTCGAGAAAGCCAATTATCGGTGCAGCTTGGGGCCGGCTAAGGGGGCCGAGGTGGGGCATCCCTGCTTCCAGCCGCAGGAGATGGTGGGCAGTGCTTCCACCACCACCACCACAGGTAGGAGAGGGTGGGAGGAGGAGGAGGAGGAGGAGGAGGAGGAGGAGGAGGAGGAGGAGGAGGAGGACCCCCCCATCCTCCCTCCTCCCCCGTCTCACCTATGGCAGTAGTGGTTGGACAGCTGGCCGACCCAGGAGAGGGGAGACGCCCCAGAGTGCACGTGCCTGGTTCCTCGCGTTCCTTCTGCACCGCCGAGTTTGCCCCCCGTGCCCTCTCCGGACGGGTCCTCTGCTCGTACTCGAGCCCCTCCAGGGCAGACGCCCCAGGTGTCTGCAGGGTGCCGCCGGGCCGCCGCCCTCCCCAGACCCGCTCATCGACGCAGGGGGCTCCGACCCTCTGGCGTTGAGACCAAAAAACACGACCAGAGGACTTTTTCCACATCCTTCGGCCTCCGTCACAGCTCGGGCTGTAGAAACGCCTCGGGAGGTAGAAACGACTCGGGCTGTAGAAACGCCTCGGGCTGTAGAAAAAAAACGACTCGGGCTGTAGAAACGCCTCGGGCTGTAGAAACGCCTCACCAAAAAAAAAGACGACTCGGCGGACTGTAGAAACGCATCGGGAGGACGAGTCGGTCCCGTTAAGTGTGTCCAGGCCTCAACGGGGTCGGCGCGGTGAAAGAATCGTGACGTCGGGGGTCGGGGGGGGGAGGGGGGAGCACAGGGAAGAGGGGGGGGGTCACGAAATCTTCGGCGTGCAGCTGGTTTCGGCTCCGCCGCCGGGCGATGTGTCCTCGATCTCGTCGGCGCTTCCGGCGCCGGAAAACATGGGTAGGATCGGTTGAGATCCGCCATATCCTCCCCCGAGATCCGCCTTGTTCCCCCCACTGCTAACACAAGAAGAGCCGATTCGTCTTGCCCCCTCCCCTGAGATCCGATGTCACGTAACATGAACAGGCTCGACAAAACAAAGAGGGACAACGAGGGCATAATGTTGCCTTGCTGGACACTGTTTTGAATTGCGTTGCCTTGCATTGCTTGGCATTGCATGTCGTTGCCTTGATTTGCCTGACATGACTCAGCTTTGCTTCGCATCACTCGGCACTGCCTGGCATTGCGTGCTCGGCATGTGCGTGGCATTTGCGTGGCATGTGCGTGGCATTTGCGTAGCATTTGCGTGGCGCTGCTTGGCATTGTTTGGCATTGGCATTTGGTTGGCATTGCTTGACAAGCAGACAAGCCATGCAACTCGGGCATCCGGGCAGAACGGCAGCCCAGGCAACCAGTCAACCTGGGCAACCCGGGCAACCGGGCAACTGGGCAAGCTGGCAGCGGGGCCACTGGGCAACCAGGCAACCAGGCAACCCGAGGGAGGAAGGCTGAGCAGCCCGAGGGCAATCGGAGCAACCCCGGGCAACCTCAGGCAGCACCAGGCAACATTTGAGTCGGGCGTGTCCCTCTGCAGGAAGAGAATTCAAGAGTGGTCAAAGAATGTGATTGTGACAGAACATGTAAAAGAACAGCCAAATAGTAGTGTGGTGACCATGTTGTGACTATTTGTGACTACTGCTTTGTTCCTGCTTCTTCCAACGTCCGGCTGTAGGAGAGCATGCCCGACCTCAGGCAACGGGCAAGCAGCCCGGGCACCCGGGCATCCCAGGCCGGCGCAGGCCTGGCACCTCCCCGCGTTCAGGAAGGCAGGTGAGAGCCTCTCCTGGCAGGCCTCTCTGTGCCGTGCAGCCCGGAGGGGAGATCTCCCGGGAGAGGTCTTCGGGGACATCGATATTGGGAGGGATAGGCCTATGGGGGGGGATGCGTTGATCGCCGATAGGGGCCCAATAGCCCCTATCCCGCCCAGGAAGGTGCGGATTCTCTATCGGGGCCTATCGCCGATCTGTCGGCGACGTATCGCCGAGTCCAGGTCGATGCATCCCCCCGTATGCCAGTCCCCCCTATCGTTGCCCCTCAGATCTCGAACGGAGCCTTGGACCCCGTCTTCCTGCTGCATCTTTCGAGCCGAATCGAGCTGTGAGGGTCCCGCCCGAAACGGGGCAAAGTCGGCCGTTGTGGAGAAAATGTGATGCCAGGATCTCGGGGACCACCCCTTTCACGCCCTCGAATTCGATGCGATTCGGTTCGCTTGCTGGGGCCACGATTCTGATTCGATTTCATTCGGCTCGATTCACCAGCATCGGCCAGAGCCCGCTGGAGCAGGGTTCGGCGATCCGATTTCGATTCGATTCTGGACGACGATTCGCTGGCGATCAGATGCGTTCCCGATCCGATCCAATTTCGCGATTCGATCGGCCTCCGTGACGCGATTCGATCCGATTCGACTTCGCCATCTGATCCCTCAGATCCGACGTTGCAAAACAGAAATCAGCGTCGCAAAAAAATCACCATCGGAGCCCTGGACCTCGTCTTTCCGCGCCACTTTGCGAGCACAGTCGATCTGTGAGGGTCCCAGGGGGGAGAAGCCGGGCGAGAAAGCGTCCAGTGTGAAAACAATCAACGCCAAGATCTCAGGGATTTCGCGATCCGATTTCCCAGACACTTTGCCGCTCCAATTTTTTCGATGTGTGAGCCCCGAAGGTCTGGACCACTTCCCTGGGGCCAGTTTTTCGTCCTGAGTAGTTTGTTGAGGTCCCCGAGGCCCAGCGAGGGCCCCCTGATATCGAAAGCGGCCAAAAACTGGACGCTCCAGTTTTTTGTCGGAGCGTCGGATCTCTGGGATTTCGCAATTCGGTGTAATCAGGTCGCATAGTATGGGTAAGTACTTTTCCAAGGCTACCCTTGCATCCCTGCCCCTTCGGCCATCCTTGGCAACTCTCGCTGGCCAGCCCCGTTCGAAAAACGCCAACATGGCCTTTCAAGGCCCTTGCATCCTTACCGCGTATCCTCATTCTGCGACTTGAATGGCGTGGCCAGCTTGGGCGAGAGCTGGATACACACGTGGCCACATGTCTTTCCAAAGCTAGACCCTCGTGCGGCCAGGCACGATGCTCCTCCACATGTGCATCCAGCATGTGGCCTGCAAAACCTGGTTCGAATGCGCCGGCATTGGCACGGAAGCTGCTCGCGTAAGGTCGCGCGTCATGTGCCCTCGTTTCCAGTGGCGTGCCGCGCTGCCGGCCCACGTGAGCCACCGCGCAAGGTCGCTGTGGCATCTCGCGCAAGACCCCTTTTCTTTTCGTCGCCAATCACTACGTGTATCCAGCATGTGGCCTCCAGATGTTCCACATAATATGAATCTGGCCACCTGTGTCTCCAGCTTCCTCGTGCACCCAGACCCCCGACGCCGTGATTTCTTCACGACGTCGACCCCCCGAAGCCTGGTACCCCTCTGCGGGGACGGGCTTTTCATCCCGAGTTGTTTTTGGACGGTCCCAGGGCCCGGCAGGAGCCCCCAGAGGCCCGAAATATCAAAATGATCTCCCGTCGTGATTTTTGTCACAGGGTCACCGTCGTCGTCAGTAGATTCCCTTCGGGGACCATCCGTGAAAACGGGGACGGCACAGGAGGACACGCACACGTCGAGGAGCGCATGCGGCCGTCGTCGCCAGCGTCGTCGTCTGCGCCTTCGTTGTCGACGCCCTCGGGCGCTGCGTCCCCCTGCGCATGTGGCCTGGCGCGGGCCCTGCTCTCGGGCCGGACGCAAGGGGGGGATTGGGAAAGGGGGGGGTACGAAATCTGCTGCATGAGCTGGTTTCGGCCCCGCCGCCGGGCCCATTGCTCGATACATGGGCGCCTCCCGGCGCCGGGAGGCGCCAGGAAAATCAGCCGCGCGAGCTGATTCTCAGACCCCCCCTTGGCTATCTCCCCCTTTCGCCCGGCCCGCTCCCCCTGGCGACAGCAGAGCCCGCCCCTGGGCACCTTGGCATCGCTCGGACGTGTGCATTTTTCCTTCGGCGAGGTCCAGCGAAGAGCATCCTTGATCATTTGAGGAAAAAGCGCGCACGAAACCGAAAAAAGCGCAGGGAATGGACGTCCGAGCGATGGCCAGGCACGCGCCCGACCCGATCGAGATGCCGCGATGCGGTCCCGC